CAGCTGTCTGTACTTTGTTCTAGAACACTTTGTAAAAATGGTAATCGTCTGAAATATATATTTTTAGAACGACTTTGCCTTTTAATTTGTAAAAAGTAATTTATTCATCTGACGGAAATCCAAAAAAAGAAAACATTATTAAAAGAGAAAGGCCAATGCCTAAATTAAATATAAATATGTCGACAAAAAATTTACGAAGACGTAAAATGGCTTTGCGGATGCATAAAAGTGCAAAAATTGCTTTGTTGGTCTCGCCTATTATTTTCAAATGAAATTAGTGTGCGGATTAAGAATGGCTTCGACCATTTAAATAATTTGAGTAAAGCTGGCAAATGACACGAAAATCGTAAATCTCGCATCGATTCTTTCGTAAAATTGAAGCAATTTGGAAATCAAAATAGAATAGAATTTAACATTAGTACACAATATAAAATATATATTTTAATTATAACGAGATAGTTACGGCTAATAGATTGGCTATATTTGTGAGCTCCGCGATTTTTACGCGGATGTCGGGAAAATAACCTTCGTAAACAACTCCGATGAAAAAATACTGTTGGTAAGAATTATATCGGAGGTCACCGATTGTTTTCACAATTAGCTGAGAAAGTTGATACTTAGTCGATCGGAATGCACCCTTATTATCAACAGAAGTCGATCGCGTGACTCATTTCCCACGAAGAACGTATAAAAGCGCGAGTCCCCGGAAGCTCCGGGCGACCAAAGGAAGTTATACTTATTATGTGTGCATCTCGTCTCCGTACGCCGGACGTAGCGACCGAAAGGACATGGCCATACGACAGACTTTGAACTTCCGTCGCCATTCTAAAGTTCCTGCGCCGACTACGATTCGTACGGCCCATTCGACGAACGTATATTAGTCGTATCCTCAGAGGTATTTGTATTTTAGAGCTTTGTGAACACTCTCTCACAGAATAGCCGTTAGAGCTGTTACCAGCGGACCTTTGTATAGTTAACTTAAATTTAACCGCATTTAATCTTAATATTGTTATCGCCTTATGTATCCTAGCTTAGCCATTCAATAAATGTTTTGTTATTTTGTATAGAGAATCTATCGAATCTAATATAACAGAGTTAATTATGTTGAACTCGCTTATTTATTAAGCGCGTTAGATAATCTATTAATTAAAAATACATTTAGAGAAGTCTAAGGTTTTTACTGGCTTATCGAATAAACGAATACGAATGGACCCTAGACCAGGGCTTCTTAATTTAAACTTTTTTTATTCACCACCCCATTTATGATTGAGATTTTTATTCGCGACCCCCAAAAAAATATAAAATAAAGATATAGGCCTATACAAATTTGCAAAAACAATAATGGTGAGCTACCACAGTTCACTCTTGTGCTACAATGGAACAGAGACAACCGAATACACTGAAAAGCGACAACACCACACTAGTTCACATTACAATCAGTGTTACCGAATCATTGTCTCGCTGCTCCAGAAGTGACACAAAGCGCGGCTCACAAAACCTATGACACAAAACGTGTCTCACTTTTAAACTCATTTTCAAACTCTCACAAATTATTTTCAATATTTTGCATTAAAATCTCGCGACCTGAAGATTTCGCTAAGCGACCCCAAATGGGATCGCGACCCATAGTTTAAGAAGACCCTAGACCATCGCTGACGCGCAATTAACAGGAAGTCGGCTTCTCACAGAAACGCAGCTTCCCTATCATCAACCAGTCAAACTTCGGTGACAATTCTTTTAGTTTCGATAGAATAGTATCAGAACACAGAATCTTCTGAGGTATTTCAGTAGAAATATCCCGCCATGCAAAATAATCGTCCAGTCCAGATAATTTCAATATTCGTTCGTTAGGCGATCGACGACGTTTTCCAGTTGGTGCGCCACGCGTGGAGCCTAGATTAAGTTCGACTCCTCCAATAATAAATAAAAAGAATAGAATTAAAAAAGAAATTATAACAGAAGAAAAAGACATCCCGAGTAAAGAGTCAATTAATGGCAAACGGTCGAACTGCAGATCGTAACGGTAAATCGTAAAAATAAGGTCTATAAACACCGGTACCGCGATGCATCTCGGCGGTGGCCATATCGGGTACTTCCAGGTTGCGTGTACGGCGTTTCTAGAGCGAATTTGGTTATTTGTTTTTGCCATCTCAATTGGTTGAAATGTTTTTAATGGTTTGATATTCGGCACCGAATTGTAAGAATTCGTCAGCCAACGATGTAAGAATGCTCCGTTTCTCCCGCCGACAATTCCAGGAGAGTGATCATTTAAAAGTTAATACAGTAGAGCCTCGAAAACTCGGCCTAATGTGGACCGAAGGGTGGCCGAGTTGGTGAAAATGCCGGGTTATCGGGAATGGGGTTGAAAAAACTAACTACGAGTGTTTCCTCAGAAAATACTGTACTGTACTTGTATGTATTGTTTACTTGAGAATACAACAGAGAATAAACTGCCCAAATACCCTTAAACAAAGGAAAAGTACGTCCTTTATGAAGGAATAGAGCCTTTACTACATGAAAATGAAAATTAATGAATACACTGTACAGTAATTTACCTGATAAGATAGGCCTCAGAAAAATACTTTATGAGGCATAAAGCTGTCTCTAATGAAAATTAATTAACTAAGGATCTTTTTGCCCTGCTAGGGTGTGGCCGAGTTATCCGGAGTGCCGGGTTTTCGAGGCTCTACTGTATTATTGCTTTTATAACTTCACATTTTGATACAAATAATGCTATTTGCTGTATATACTGTCTTTTAGCGCGAACACGTTGCATTTTCTGAAGTAAAAGGTTTAGTGAAATTGAAAAATACTATCGGGTTACTAATAGAGATTTCTTTTTAACTTTTTATGTCGGTGTTGTTACGTGCAAAAATCCAGTTTGGTCTCGGATCGCTGCTAGTCTGTCGGTCGTTTGTGGTTTTAGATTCCTGACAGGTTGTATAACATCATTACGTAACTTGATAAAGGGAATAAATGTTATAATATGTTTGTGGACTGAAAACATACTTTAAAATTTCAAATAAAATGCAGTAATTGAAAGTAAAACTTTCAGTCATTTAAATTAATATTTCACGATAATCGACAGTAATGTAACATAGTACTGTACCGTATAAATTGCGTACTCTAATGAATAATTTTGTTGTTTAATAATCATTTTATTATAAAATAAACAATCAATAAAGTTGTAGTTGATATTTCTATTTGTTGGTATTGTCTACTGTTTAATAAATTTTTATATAGTCTACTTGAAGCGTGCAATTCCATGACGTTGTAAATGCCACTTTTTCTGAATACGTTTTATTGTAGAATTGAATTCCAAAGGCAATGTTTCTGCCACAAAAGAATATTGGCGATGTAAGTGGCTGTATTTTGAAGATGAATTTATGCGAAAATATAACTTTTAAAGCGTCACGTGACTTTTGGGACGTAAAACGTTGCGGCTCATATTTACATCATTTTGAAATTCCAGAGAATTGTAACCCAGTGAGGATTTTTACTATTTTATTGATATTTAATTAAAGAAATATAATTAAGCGCATAATATATATATTTACACTGGCAAAACTTTCATTTCTTATTAAATTTATTAATTATAATTAATATTTTCATTAAATAATTTAGACGATTCTGGAAGAAAAGAATAGGTCCGGAGCGGGTCTCGAACCCCGCAACAGCCACTTACCGGTGCATATATATTGTTACGTTACCCTGACCTACTTTCGGTTCTTTGTTTCCTTTACTGCCAAATTACTCTGGATTTAATAATTATTATTAACGGCTACGTAGCCGGATGTAATTCGGCAATTGTTTAGATTTAATACAATTATCGGACTTTCGGATGTTTATATATCTATTTTGTATGTTTACAGATATTATTTGCTAATTATTACAGATAACATTCTTCCTTTTACATATGTTAAAAACATATTTATATTCTAATGTATTATACTGTAAGTCGAGAATAATATAAATATTGACGTCGATAAGTCGAATTGTATTCATCGCCTGTCTTTTTGTTGGGTTTACAAAAGGTGATATTAGAATAATATCAATATTAAGACGAACACGAAAGCAAAATCAAGTATTTGATCGTGAGTAGTTTATGTTGGATAAACTTTTTTATAGATTTTTTNTCTACTTGAAGCGTGCAATTCCATGACGTTGTAAATGCCACTTTTTCTGAATACGTTTTATTGTAGAATTGAATTCCAAAGGCAATGTTTCTGCCACAAAAGAATATTGGCGATGTAAGTGGCTGTATTTTGAAGATGAATTTATGCGAAAATATAACTTTTAAAGCGTCACGTGACTTTTGGGACGTAAAACGTTGCGGCTCATATTTACATCATTTTGAAATTCCAGAGAATTGTAACCTAGTGAGGATTTTTACTATTTTATTGTAAAATTGAAATGAATTCATTTACTAGAAAAACTGATTTTTACCTCTCCTGGAAAGTTTCTTTTTTGGTATTTACAACATTATGGCATTACACGCTTCGCTTATTTAATTCTCTATAAAAAATAATTAAATTTAGTTTATAGGCGTAACTTCCTTCATTTAGGAACTTTCTTATCTCTTGCAAACACTTTACATAATATATTAAGTTTGTGAGAATGGTTTTTTTCTCTTGATCTAATTTTAATTTATAAAAACGTTTACTCTGAGCTGCTGTTTGCAGTTTGCGTAATGAAAAAATGCGTATTAATATAGAAAATTATATATTCTTATTATAACGAGTATCTCGAAATTATAAAAGGAATTCCGTGGCTCGAACGCGAAGGAACGCGCAGTTTACTGCACGTACAGTGCGTGAAATCTATACCCCGACCTCGGAACTAATATGGACGGCTCCGTAGGGAACATCGGTGTCCTGATCTTGCGTTTATACATCTTCCAACACTGTCAAACGCTCCCCCTTTACTCGATATTAATATATACGAATCTTAATGTAACGTTTCCTTACAAATTTCGTTTAGTCGTCAATTATGTTTACCGATTTCTTCCTCTGCCGATCCTGATTTAATATAATATTTCACGAACCCCAGTTCTGTACTGCGCATCACTCAGTTAAGACACTGTACGTGATACGATCTGTATTCGCCTTATCTGTTATTTCGATTTTAAAAAATTGAATGTAGACTAAACACATGATATAAAATCGTTCAAAGATCAGTAGAACTGGAATTAATACTAACAACTACAGGAGAATCACACAGGATTAAACATGCGTGTAGCCGTTATAGGTGCGGGTATCTGTGGCCTGGGAGCCATCAAAGGTTGTAAAGAAGAAGGTTTAGACGTAGTTTGCTACGAAAAAACCGACGACATAGGAGGTTTGTGGAGATATAGAGACGGCGACGTACAGGGTTTGGCCTCGGTTGCAAAATCCACTATCATCAACACTAGCAAAGAAATGACTGCGGCCAGTGATTTTCCACCTCCAAAAGAGTATCCAAGTTACATGCATAACTCTATGATGTTCGAGCATATTTGCCTGTACGCGGAGAAATTCGATTTAATGCCGCACGTCAAGTTCCACCATCGAGTGGAGAGGATCGTTCCGGCCGACGATTACGATTCGACCGGCAAATGGACAATCACGACCGTAAACTTGAAGAGTAAAGAGGAGCGAGAAGAGACTGTCGATGCGGTTATGGTATGCACCGGCCATCACGTGTTTCCAAATATCCCTACTTTCCCCGGACAGGAAAAGTTTAGAGGAAGCATCACTCACACTCACAGTTATAAAACACCGAATGAATTCGAAGACAAGAAGGTTGTAGTGGTAGGATCGGGCAATTCTGGAACTGATGCAGCTGTGGAGACGAGTTCAGTCGCTAAAAGAGTAAGCAAATTTAAAACTTTTCCAACTATATTTTAGTTATGATAATTTCTGTTACTTTTTTTTCTTTATAAGCCGCTACATACGCGTTTAAGCACACATAAGTGTTATACGCGTTCTGTTAGTGTATGTATTTACGAAGTATTACAGATAACATTCTTCTTTGTTAATATTAATAGGTTTATGTTCGTTATACTGTCAGTCCAGAATAATAGCGAGGTTGAGGCCGAAGTTTTAAACGCGAAATGTGTACACGTTTCGTGTTTAAAACTTCGGCCTCAACCTGGCTAATACAAATAATGCAAGACTCAAATAGTCGAACTTTATTAAATCGAATGTCTCGTTATGTCGAATTGTATTTTTCCTCCGACTTTTTGTTGTGCTTTCAAAAAGTGACACTGAAATAACATTAAAACCAAGTCGAAAACAAAATCAAACATTTAATCGTGAGTAATTTATGTTTGGTATACTTTCACATAGCTTTTTCTTATGTAAAACATATGACAATTTTATTGATACACTTTGGAATATAATTTTTAACTCAAATTGCTGTAATTTAATTTTTAGGTTTCTAAGTTCCAATTTTATCTTTACTGATTTAAACCGCATTCAAATTACTTTCCTAACTGTTATATATGACACAAAAAAAGATGGCGGTCGTTCTAAAATAACTTCCCAACATTTTCACATTTTTGGACTTAGGGCACCTCGAAAGGTCAAGAAATACAAAACATTGGGTTTTTTCCTGTACGTATGAATGTTAATGAGTGGGAGCATCATTTTCTTCACTCTATTTGATGCTTAAAAACTTGCGCTTTTGTCGAAAATTTCGCGGGGAGGTTCGTGTATAAGGATGTTATTAAATTTTGATGATTGGGGTCGAGGAGGCGGGGAGATATAGGTAAGTCACTCGTCGTATCTCGAATAAGATCAAAATTAACTTTTGTCGTTATTAGAATTTAGTTTTTCTTTATAAGACTCGTCTCCATCCTCAAAATTAAGCTTTTTCCATTTATAATAATTAATAATATAGGCTATAAAGTTTTTCAATAAAATCTGGTAACGGATGGCTGCGCATACAATTTTAACTCTTACGGGAAAAGTTACGCAACTCGCTGCCGGATTGTCTTCGAACTTTATTCTAGTTTTGAAAATAATACTGTATATTCCTCAATGCCTAGTTACTTCCCACCCACGCTGTATAATAAAAGCTTTAAATGTTATATTTTTTAATAAAGAAAATTTCAATTATTTCAAAATATTTTTAAGTAATTAAAACTCGAAATTCTGGAGAAAATTTCGAGTTTTTTCATTTTATATTATTTTCATAACCTTTTGGAATTGACTTTTTAAAATTGCAATGTCCGCGCTATTCAATACTTACACATAAATTACATATCATAAATTTTAGTGATATACTGTATACCAATATCGCTAAAATAATTCATTTATTTATTAAAAAAAATTACTTTTTTGTAAATTAAAACTCGTTCTTTCCTAGAAATTACGACACTCGCATTGCATAACATTTGTATAAATCCAGTCTGACAATTCTTAGAAACTTGCGAAAAATTTTTTAAAACAAGCAAAATATTCTAAGATTAGAATTAATGTTTAAAAAAAATACAATTTTAAGAAGCGTTTTTAAGGAAAACTTTTATTTAACGAGAAAAATCAATGGAAAAACAATCTTATAAATGAAATAATTTGATTTCTGTACACAGACAAAATGCCGATGTAAAAAAATTATTCGGCGACGAGTTGCGTAACTTTCCCAGCAGAAACTTAAAACTGCGTTAAGCGACATTTGTTACGAAATTTTATTTTTAAAACTTTTTATATTAATTATTATTACATACGTCAAAAATGCAAAAAATTGGGGTTTTCTTAACCCCAATTTTTTTCATTTTTGACGTTTCGAGGTCGCTGGAATTCAAAACTGCAAAAATCTTGAGCGGTCGTTTTTCACGATAATAAAATTTGAATTACATTTAAATTTAGAACGTTTCAAACCTAAAAAAGTGAATAGAAATAAAAATTCTGCAATTTATACTTATAAATTATATGCCAGAGTGTATCAATAAATTTGCCATAGATTTTATATAGAGACAATACGTGCCAAACTGTATCCAATCGATACTACTGATGTATTATCTACTGTACAGGCGAAGAAACATACGAATGTTATCGCGGTCCGAACCCACGACAGGAAAACAAACAATTAAGCCGATTTTGCGCATTAAGTAACTTCTTAAACGCTAATTTGTCAATCAACTATAGAAAAAAACTAAATGTAATATTCGATTGACGAGTTTTCCAAAGTCCTCTTTCGAATCTACGTCGCACGTGAAACGGGATGCTATCGAGCCGACCTCTAAGACACAGCAGAAAGCGATCGATTAAAGTCAAACTTGCGCAACAGACTTTTGCGATTATAATATAATTATTTTTCATTTTGTTTACGTACAAATTCGAGACACGTAACAGAAATACGTCGTATTTTAGTCTCTCTGTATTGTTTGTGTGAGACGACGTACGAATGTTAAACCCTCTAATCGTCGAGTCGGTAGGACCCGCGCGCTGGGCCACTGGATGGCGTTAAAGCATAGGAGGGTCTTAAATGCGAGTGGAGAGGGAAGTCGCGGGCAAGTTCCGATCGTAGCGGGGTGAATTTCCGTACTTGGATAAGGAATCAACGGGTTAAAATACAAACTTTTTCCCACTGTTCGTCCGAGATAAAACTATTTTAAAATTAGACACTAAAGAGCAATCGAGTAAAAATTAATTTACTTCTCTTCAATGTTTTTATTGTGATAAATGCATTTCGATTCGACAATCCTCATCGGTATCATAATTGCTAGAACATTAATTAAATACGAATACAACATATAGTATACATCTTATTTACGATTATATTCCTTACATGTTTTAATAAGTCAAAGAGTATAAATTACTCAATGTACATTATAATCAAACTCTCGGCAATAGTGGACATTTCCTTCCCCAATTATTCCGTTAAATCGAGAATTTACTGAATTAAAATTAATTAAAGCTAAAGCGCGACTCAGTTTTACCATACGATTCCGGCTTACACAGGTTTATTGTGTATGTTCAACAAAATACAATTTATTTTTAACGCAAAAAAACTAACACGCGATAAATAAATCAACATATCTTTCACTTTGTTAATTGTTAGAAAATTGTTAAAAAATAATTTATATTTTAAATTTTTCAATGATTTATAATTTACCATTATTTATTTTTAGGTATATCTCAGTACACGAAGCGGTTGTTGGGTAATGCGTAGAGTAGGACAGAACGGAAGACCAGGTGACGAAATCTTCACTACTCGATTTATAAATATATTATTCAATTTGGTTCCTCTCAACATATCGAGCTGGTATATGGAAAGATATTTGAATAAGGCTTTCGATCACGAAACTTACCAGTTAAAGCCCAAACACAGATTCTTTCAGCAACATCCCATGGTTAACGACGCATTACCAAACAGAATTTTGAGTGGTACGGTCACGGTCAAAGGGGATATCGAACGTTTCGAAGAAAACGGAGTACTTTTTAAAGGAGACTCCGAAATCACCGAAGTAGACCACGTCATTCTGGCCACCGGATACCAAATTAAGTTTCCTTTCTTGGATAAGAAGATAGTAGACACCACGGATAATCGAGTGGAATTATACAAGTTTGTATATCCTCCGCATCTGAAACATCCCACCTTAGGTATCATGGCTTTGATACAACCTTTCGGAGGCGGCTTTCCCATCGGTGAAATGCAAATTAGATGGTTTGTTCAAGTTCTAGTGAAGAAGGTTCCTTTTCCCAGCGAAGAAGAGATGAGAAAAGACATCAAGAAACACTTGGAAGCAATCGGAAAGCGTTATTACGAATCAAAACGTCACACCATCCAAGTGGATTACATCGATTACTTGGACGAATTAGCTTCGTTAATCGGAGCGAAACCCAACTTCGTGAAGATGTTATTCACCGACCCAAAGTTATTTTGGGCATTGATGACCGGTCCGAGTCTTCCTTATCAATACAGACTTCGAGGTCCTCATTCGTGGAGTAAAGCTCGAGAAACCATTCTCGGCTATCCGGAAAGAGTTGTTTCTCCTTTGCAAACCAGATACAAAGTAACGAAGAAAGTAGAAAATCACTCGATTCTCGCATATTCGGTAATTTTTGTGGTAATTGTTTTTCTTTTTTCAAAGATAATATATGTTTGAAGTTGAAGTACACTGCAAAACAACGTGACTGATGATATTGTAGACGAATGGAAATAAAAGTAAATTTGGTTATTGTTATTGTTATATTGATATTTGCTGTCATTAAACACAGTACACAAAACAATATATATATAAGTTTCGTCCCTTAAATATAGGTCTACCTAGTAAAATGAAGTTTCTAAATAAACCGTTCAAAGAAATGAAGAAATAATTAATTGTTTGTATAGACTACTTATTGCATAACAATTACATTTCGACAAACATTACTTATTTAAAATTTGATAAATAATTTATATACTAAACATATCGATTTTTTTGTGTCCCATAAACATAGACCAGTACAAACATTTTTTTGAAAGTACGGCATCAAATTTGACGTAATTAACAATACGTAACACAAGAAATTTAAAAATTGTGACATCACAAAACACCTACTTGAATAACGCTTTATGTAGGAGACAATTACATGTTCAATAAAATTTTATAACTTTCTTTGCCATCTCTCAATCATTATTGAATTTATTTGTATTTATACAATTGTTTACAACTATTTGAAAATGAATGGGTTAATACTTCCAGAACCCCAATTCGTTATCGCACTTCGCTCAGAGAAGACGGATCATACGATCTGTATTCGCCTTATCGGTTATTCCGATTAGAAAATTAAATGAAATCTTAACACACGACAGAGAATCTGTCAAAGATCAGTGTATCCTGCATTAGCTGTGATAACTAGAGAAGAATTACGCAAGGTTTAAGATGCGTGTAGCTGTTATAGGTACGGGTGTCTCTGGCTTGGAAGCCATCAAAGGCTGTAAAGGTTTAAATGTAGTTTGCTACGAGAAAATCGATGACACTTTTAAGCATACATATACCTATAAGTGTTATAAGTCTACGTACTCAGTTTTTGTCTGAAAGTCGAACGATTACCGGATTAAATCGAGTTACATTACCTGTACTAATAAGTAAGTATTCAATACCCAGTAATTTGGCACTAGAGTAAGCGTTAGGCGTCATTTCTTATTAAATTTATTAATTATAATTAAATTATTCTTTATTAAATAATTTAGACGATTCTGGAAGAAAAGAATAGGTCCGGAGCGGGTCTCGAACCCCGCAACAGCCACTTACCGGTGCATATATATTGTTACGTTACCCTGACCTACTTTCGGTTCTTTGTTTCCTTTACTGCCAAATTACTCTGGATTTAATAATTATTATTAACGGCTACGTAGCCGGATGTAATTCGGCAATTGTTTAGATTTAATACAATTATCGGACTTTCGGATGTTTATATATCTATTTTGTATGTTTACAGATATTATTTGCTAATTATTACAGATAACATTCTTCCTTTTACATATGTTAAAAACATATTTATATTCTAATGTATTATACTGTAAGTCGAGAATAATATAAATATTGACGTCGATAAGTCGAATTGTATTCATCGCCTGTCTTTTTGTTGGGTTTACAAAAGGTGATATTAGAATAATATCAATATTAAGACGAACACGAAAGCAAAATCAAGTATTTGATCGTGAGTAGTTTATGTTGGATAAACTTTTTCCTATAAAAAACCTATAGCAATTTTATTGGTACACTTTGAGACATAATTTTTACTTTTTCGTCTATTAGGCTATATGTAACATAGAAAATATGACAATCGACGAAAACTTATCCCCTCCAGGATTTTACATTTTTGGACTCGGGAGACTTTGAAACATCGAGAAATCAAAAATATTCGGTGGTTTCTTCGGTTCATATTGAGCATTTCATATTGTTTTCTATTCTCTTTATAATGCATCGCGCATATTTCCTGTACTGTGCCGCATCTAAACGCTGTACTTCTGTCGCTGTAAGGTATTATAGTGAGATGTAAAGGAATGTAAACTAACGCATTGTAGTGTAATGTACTGTATCATTTAATTGTACTTCTTGTGAGATAAGCAATGTATCTGTGTACTTTAAAGCATCGCGGACTTTGTTCCTCACGGCTGATATCATATTATATGTAACTCTGTTGGTGCAGTACGTATTTACTATGCATGTATCAAACTGTCTGCAAATCCGTATTAGGTCTGTATTACAATTACCCAGTTACGCTGAGCAGGGCTGGGATACACTCTACAATTAGAATAAAATTGTCGTTGTTGTTGTTGAAACATGGCGGTGTTGAAAAGTTTTCAATTATTTGACGCGATTTTAGATACATTGAACTACTCTGCTATGGATATCGAAGCATCCTCTTTTGCTAAATACCATAACATTTTACGATCTTAACGGATCATTTTCAACTACTTTCACCTTTGCAAAATTACAATTAAACTTTGTCACGCATAAAGCGACGATTTTTCAACCAGGGTACCAAAGCAATAATTCGAGGATGCCTGGAATATAGTGACGAGCGGCACCATAACGCATTATACGTGTATCATTAATAGTTACTGTACTTTCGCATATAAATTAATTATTTAATTAATACCTTTCTTATTGTTCATTGAAAATACCATATACAATTTAAACTAATCGTACACGTATTTTTATTACGTATTAAAGTATTCAGAAGTAAAGGTGCGGCAGTAAAAACTACTAAGTTGAGGTGCCATTATTTTACCCTCGGTTAAGCGCGCGGGGTTATATAGAACCCCCGGCGTGTTTAAACGCGTGTATTTTTTAAAATTTTTTGTGCTTAAAAATGATGCCCTCAGTACCTTCCTTCCATGGTGTAAAGATCGCACCGAAAAAATTTCAATTATGCACGAAAAAATTTTTTGCATAGACTTATAATGGAAATCAGTGGGGTGCTATAGTACCCCGCGCGCCTAACGGTGTAATTTTTTTTCGCGCGACTAACGGAGGTGGGTCGATCTGACTTCGTGTTTTGAGGGAAAGCTTATTGGTTGATATAGAGTCAGTCATGATAGAAATGACCAATTAAAGCATAAAAGGCGTAAAAACAGGATTTTTAAAGCCAATAAACGGCAAAAAAGTTTCCCATAGACTTAACATTGACAGTTTGAAAGGTGGCGTTTTTTGGCGATATTTATTGCTAAATGGTGTTGAAAACATGTTTATTCGTCTAAATAATTTCAAGCGACTTATTATTAGCAAATTAGAAGTGGAAAAAAAGATTAAAACACGCGATTTTGTAGCGATTGTTTACATACTTCCGTGTGGTGGCCTTCGGGGGCGTGGCATTTCGCGGGAATATTTCTAGCAATTGTTTTTATAGGTCGATCTAATAACAGACATATAAATTAACCAATTACAGTGCAAAAGAAGTTTACTATCGATGTTATCTGCCAATAATCTCCATTTTTACCTCTACTTGCTGTGTGATTTCACATGGTGTTTTTTTGGAAATATTGAGATATTTTTGGCCCGGGGCTTCGTACAAAAAATTTAATTGTTGTAATAGTTAGAAAACACATGCTGGAAGACGATTGACAGCTTAGATAGCATCAGACTTGTTTACAGTTTGTAAAATACACTCTTGAAGTCGACCAATTTTTTTTGAAAAATTTCTAAAAACGGGGACTTTCTGTTTTTTCGTTACGAATAAATAAAATCGATATATTTAAAGTAGTTTTTTTCACTAATACATCAAAAACACATGCCCACAAACATCCAAAATGAAAAAATCGCGAAAAAAACTATGAGTTTTGAAAAATTGAATTTTGAACACGAGGGTTATATAGCACCCCGCGCGGCCAACTGTGCGTGAGTCATTAATGCGCGTAACCGAGGGTTAAAAGAAGGTTGAAATTGGTATACGGTGTCATTCTAATATGCTTAGACAAAGTCATAATTTGAACAATGACTAACAATGTCGTGCGAAAAGGGATAAAACGGTGCATTCGCCCTCCATGGTAAAAAATTCTACAAGTTAAACTAAAAGCGATCGAAATATATAAGCTTGCACCCTCGACCATGAGGCGCTTTGCCTGTCTTAAAAAACACAAAAATTTAAATAATTAAATAAAAATGTATTAATTAATGTAATTGTCTTCAAGCTTTGTTTCCCCTGGAAAATTTTCAGAGGACGCTCGTGTGGCTAACACATTATTTACAATATAAAGATGGCCTCGCGATTAATATTGCAACTGTATTAATGATTTCATCGTCATCATTGTTTTTAACAAGTGCCATTAATATGTTACTTCGCATTGCTTTTAGTAATGCGCACGTCGTCTAGAAGACTTTTACCATATGGTTTCAGTCGCTATAATTTGCTTCTAAATCGCATTACATTAGCGCTGTTTTTTTCTTCATTTTATTCAGAATTACAATTATCTTTATGATCCCTGTTATTTTTGTATGATTGATAATAATTAAAAAAATTTTTTAAATGACAAAAATTCAAATTATTTACATGTTTTAAAAAGTCTTTTTGTGTGACACGCTGGCTAGAAAAGTTAATTCTTTCTTCTTTAAACAAAACAAATCGCGTCATTTTAGATCCAATACAACGTGAGAAATTTACGTCTACGTGCTGCGATTTACCATGGCGGGGCTTGGAGCGAGCCGTGTCACTATGGCGTCGTTTCCAGATGTGTCACGCGCGTTTAAACTTTATTTTACGTTAAAAATATATACAATTCGATAAGTATTTCCTTATAATATCGAACTTTCAGACAATTAATTAACAAGTATTACGAAAGAAATTCGTAATAATCATTAATTAAATAAAGAACTACGCCGCGTGACGCTCGTGTTGCGTCGCTTGGCGCGAGTGACAATCGGAAAATTGTTCTATTCTTGTCTTTCCGAATGGATGACGTCATACATATGAGTTATTTATCCCTTTATAAGCTTTTAAAGATTCTTGATTGTTTTTGAACGGATTGCGGCATGCCGTACTCTGACCGTACGCCACTATCTTTGCGCGGCCATTTTTTTTTCTGTCACTGCTGGTGCGGCCTCTTTCGTTCAGTGTTAACCGATAAAACAGTTTTAAAATTCCATTGATTGATTAACAAATTTCAACGTGTCCTTAGATAGAACCACAGTTTATAACTGTCCCCGCATATGAAACTGCTTTTTTCGTCCAGAAAGGGCTATAGTGGCAAGTTTAGGCACTAATTTCTTTTTACGGAATGTATTCCGCGCGTATCTTAAAGTGTCACCGCGCGCCAAATTTTCTTCATTTGTATGGCCGAGGAGGACTTCTTATGTAAAAGTGCTCCAATTTAATTTGTAAGACAGGCGAAAT